ATATTGTCTCATAATGTAAATTATTTTTTATAAAAAAAATATAATTTATATGTTTCAAAATATTTATTTAAATAAATTTTAAATTAGTATAACTTATATATTAAGATATATATTATTTATTTATATGTTATTTTATTATAAATTTTATTTATATATAATAAACATTTAACTTATACATTATACAAGTAATTGGTACTTTTATTAAAAGTTGAGTTACAAAAAGAATTACCCATAGATTGGATTAAGGTATAAATTAAATATTAATAAATGAATATTGAAATTATCAAAGAAAAAAAAGATTATCACCATATCGATATATATCGATAGAGTATAGGTGGTTGTGGATATCAAACTTCATAAAATCCAACAAAAATAAGTATGGGTTTTAAAATTTCAAACTATTCCTCCCCATTTTAAACCCTATATCAAAAACTATTAGGAATATAAAATCATTACCTATTTATGGTCACCTAATTTTGACAAGTACGTATTTAAGTTTTTTTAATTTATAAAATAAAATCAATAATACTTAATATTAATTGAAGATTGTTTTATTTTTTAACTACTTATCGGTTAGAAATATACATTATTTAAAAATAATACTATTTTTTTTAAGATTACAAGTATAATAAAATGAATATTTTCCTTCAATCATCATTTATTTTATACTTAAAATCATAATTTAAACTTTCTCTCCAACCAACCATCGTCTATTTTATACTTAACATCATGATTTAAACTTCTTCTCCCATCATCGTATATTTTATACTTAAAATCATAATGTAAACTTTCGACAATAGACTAAGAAACACAATTTATTACTATTGTCTTTAATCGTGTTAATAAGATAATGCATATTAAGAGTGTGAAATATGTATGGAAGCTGAGATTTTGCAAAGACAGAAGCAGAAAGATTTCAAGGCCAAGCCCCTTTTGGCATGCTTACTGAGTAAGGGACACGCAAAGAGCAGCATGAGGTTATCCCTTCAAGACTTCAAGCATAACACAACACATGTCAAACCCTCCATTCCCATCCCTACACATCTCTTTCTTTTGTCTTTTGACAAATTCAATGCAATGGATTACCACTTCACGCTCAAACATTTACTTAATAACATCAAACCAAACCATTCGTGTCCCCAATATTCAGTGGGTTTGAGTAAGATTCAAGAGACACACCTCGATACGTTTTGTTATTATTATCAACATGCATGTTTGGATTCTAGTGTTATCCAAGGGACCAATACGACACGTTTTATTATTATCAACATGCATGTGTTTGGATTCAAGTGTTATCCAAGGGACCAAGACACAATTCACGAATATTTATGTATTATACTTTTATGAAGATAAATAAAAACTATGCATCAACAGTATAAAAATCAGTTTTTAAGAACCATTTAATCGCATACCATCATTTATTATTATAAATTTGTTAATTTTTATAATAATTATCTTAGAAACATGATGTTTTATTAGTTGAAAATATATCACTGTTAAACCCTACTTTTATTTCATTATTATCTTGTCATCTTCTTCTTCTATTTTGCTTCGTCACATCTCATATCATCAAGATAGTGATTCTCTTTATTATTAGTGGTTTTGACCTGCTAATGGGTTTCTGCCACTTTTTTGCGTCTTAAATTTGGTAATCCGCTGATTTGTATATTATAATTAGTTGGTGATGACCAACACAGGGGACCCAATATGCTTATTGTATTTGTACACCATTGTGCTAGTGTTTGTTGTCTCAGCCTTATGAATCATATTCGTTTTGGACCAAATTAATTTATGTTTTGATAATTTGAAGAGATTAATATCAATATTACGTGGTTTTTTTTAATCAAAATCATGTTAAATGATTTTAAGGTGAATTTAAACATGTACTTACAATCTATTGCAACTTGTTTTTTTATACCGTATATAGAATCAATCAATCTTGACCACATCCATTGCATCGTACTTGCATGTAATTGGCGTTAATCGTCACTTGTTGCGTGAATTGAATTTGCAACTCGTGATTAATATTCTAGATTATTTTGTAGAAACAAAAACAATCTTCTGAAACATGGTAATATTCTATCCCTAGGTCGTAAGTCTGAGTTAATGGATTGCATAATCATAATTGCTTGAATTTAAAAACTTTGTGAAGCTCTTTTTTGGAAGGAGACTCTCTCGTTGCTTGAATTATTTGATAATGAAAATTGTGTTAAAAATGTTTTAGAAAAAAAGAATTGTGGGGACACCTACACCTATCCTTCCTTAATGCGTAGGATTCAGCATTTCACTTTTTTTAACCAAGTTTATCGCACTCATCGCAAGTGTAATAGAGTCGTAGAC